AAAATCATTAATATGAATTTCACTTAAACCATTAATAACAGTCAGTCTCTATAACATTTCAAAAATAACCAATCAAATATTTTGGGCTCAAATTTAGAAAGGTAGCAGTTTGTAAAGGCATTCTAGCATAATTGTCAATTTAATATGTATAGAAAAACTCTTATAAAAATTCAAGAATACGGAATTATCACAATTTATGGGATATCAATCCACAAATAAACATTTCACAACAATACTATAATCAATTGCAAAAATGTCAATTTTTTTTAAATAATAAGGCAGTCATTTGCATATGAATTTTACAATGTCTAAATATTCAAAACAGTAGAAAGAAATATCACAATTTTACTAAAAGCACAAATATCACATTTATTTCTAACAATAGACAAGAAAAATAAATAAATTTATTTTTCTAATTTACAGCATTCAAAATTTCTAACATAGATAAAATATCACAATTTTTATTAAAAAGATTATTTTTCAAGATAATGAGGTCACGTGCGCATAAAATTTATCGCGCCTAAAATTCATGATAATAAACAGAAATAATTATTTCATTTTATTTTTAAAAAGAATGGATTATTTTTCGAGACAATGAGGTCACTTACACACAAAACTGATAAAATAAAGATCCTAGACGGAAATATCACGATTTATTAAAAATAGACTATTTTTCAGAAAGACGATGTCACTTACCCACAAATGTTTGAGAGGAAGCTTCCGATAAAAAATTCGGTTCGAGAGAGTTCACTGTGTTTCGACCAGAGAGAGAGAGATCTCAAAATTTTGTTTTAGGGTGGGAGTGCTCACATCCCCTATTTAAATTTTTATAACGTATTATTATATTATTTTATTACGCTCTACCTCATACCTGAGGTGTCGCGTTAAAAGTCTGCTTTTATCGTACGAAAACCACGTCCGCTAAAGGACGTTGCCAGCTGCAAGCAGCAGGAGGCAAAAGCAGGCAAAAGAAAAAGTAAAGGCAAAGGCAAAATCTTTTGAAAATAGTGATGGTCCTCAAGGACCATCATATTCAAACAGAACATCACCTATTTAAAAGCATATTTTCTTCCTTTTTTTTTTTTTTTTTTTTGAAATTTTTAGGATTGTTGCACCATAGGACTGGGTTTTCTTTTTGAACAATTGACAAGGCTGATGGTAATGAGGGTTGGACGTGATGGTAATGGTAATGAACTTCACCCACTCCAATCCGCTTCTTCGTGGCAAGGTTATAAAATACATAGAAGGTTGGAAAAAAAATAGCAGCACAATTCATCGATTGGGTCAATTTGCTAATGGAAAGCAAGTTAAAATTAAATGATGGAGCATATAAAACCTCGGATAATCTCAAGCCAGAATTCAGGTAAATAGTTCATTTGTGTGTGATGGGTTGTGTGTGTCCGGTTGGCAATTTCACAGGTGACATGTTTGATATTGTGGTGGTGTCAAGAAGGAAAGAGAGTTGAGCTGTCATGTGATTTGATGCCCCTCTGTCAATAATTCAAGTATCAGGTGGTAACGTAGAATGTGCATGATAAGAAATAGTACCTGCGAGGTTGGTAGAGGTGGAAGAAGAATCAACTGAAGGTAGGCTTAACAGTTGTTTATATTGTGCAGCGGTAAGTCCTTGGAAACGAGAACAAGTTGTTGCGGCAACACTAAGCACCGCGCTAGATGCATTTCCATGGACTTGTGCGGGTCGTGACCTAGCATAAGTGTTCGCTCCTTGCCTCTGCATGAATTGTTTCTGCCTGTTCCAATTGGGTGGGTATTCGATGAGTTCAAAATAATGTGCCTTATTGTGGCCGATCGCTCCACAATGTTCACATTTTTCTTTGATTTTAACTTCGACTCCTCTTGTATCTTGTGAACCCAAGGGGTGACCAACTGCAAGAGTTGCCACATCTGGGGTGTTGGGAATCATTTGTAAAAATCGTCTCTTCTTTGCTTGACTAAGAATTGAGTAGGCTTTACCAACCGTTGGCAACAATTCCATAGCAAGAATTTGGCTCCAGATGGCCGTAAAGGACTCATGAAGCCCCATTAGAAATTGATATAGCTTCTCGTCTTCCTCATTTACGTTATTGGGTTCAGTGGTATAGGCTATCCCAATAAGTTTTAAGTGTGGAGTAATATTCGACAAGTGGATGTTGCTCCTGTTGCAATGTAGCTATGCATCTTTTGAGTTCAAACTTTCAAGGTGCATGGCTTTGAGAAAGCCTTTGCTCCAGGTCTAGTGATACGCCTCTTGTCACTTTAATGTAAATCACACTGTTCGAAAGAGGTTTTGAAAGTGTATTCACGATCCAAAGATGAATCATATCATTGCATTGTTGCCATAGTCTATACTTGGTGGAGCCAATGTTAGGTTCAGAGATCGTTCCATCAATAATTTATTTTTTGCACTTAAGGCTTTCCAAATAGCTCATCTCCAAGTAGAATAATTATCACCAACTAAAGGGTTCGTAACCAAAATAATACTTGGATTGTCTGAATGGCATAATAGAATGGTGAAGAAACTGTGATAATCTCGTTCGATGTATCAATTGCATCTTTGTCTCCATTGTTTGCCATTTGAAGGAGCTAAAACTTACTTATGCACAAAACCAACAATCAAAATCTTGCTCGTGTACTAAGAACTAGCGCAAAAACTTGCACAGACTCGTGCATGAATGCAGCGGCCAATCAATCAAACTTGCACAGACTCGTGTACAAACCTGCAATCACCGACTGCACACAAAACGTGCACAAACTCGTGCTAGATGTGTAAAAAGAAAAAAAACAACAACAAAACACGTAATCTTCTAGAGAGAGAAACAAAGAAAGAGGTAAGAGTTTGCAACATATCTGTAAACAAAAAGACACCATTGCTGCTAGATGTCAAATGTGCTAGTGATTTTAGTACCTAAAGAGAAAGAGAGTAGAGAGTGAGAGAATATCAACGAAAACCAAATAAGACAACTTGGTAGAAGATATATCGAGAGATAAAGAAAACCCTCTCTTGCAAACCATGTATCAATGGGCATGCAAATTTTGGACGGCAAGTGTTCACAGTGGAGCTTGCAGAGCAAAATACTACCTGGGGGCAAATCATACCAAGTAAATTTCTCTCTTCGGGCAAATCGTATCAGGCAAATTGCTCTCTTGGGGCAAACAAGCAAACAAGAGACCAAATTGGGCGTTTGGAACAGTTGGTAAATGCCCTTGGGAAACTGCTTGCAAACAACAGAGACTCAACTCCGTGGCTTGCAACAAGCAAACTGCTGCTTCCTTGGTACATGACCACCAGCTAGGGATGACAACTCCCTCTCTACGTTAAGCTTAGATCCGCTGCTCAAGAGACGAACAACAACCACTCTCTATGAAGCAGCAGCCTCAGAAGCAACTGCAAATTTGGTACAACGCAGGGTAAGAATGGCAAGGCAAATTTATCGATGAGATCATCCTCTGTTAGGTCAAAACCTCGGTGATAAAGACCGATCGATTGTCACCGAGCCATTGTCATAGATAGAGAAGACCATGAGCCCATATGAGAAGGCTCAGATACCATGTTATGACTTGGAAAATCGTATATTACAATCAATTGATTATTACAACATGATATATACAACTTGGTCATAGTTACTTCCAAAATTGTAGGGATCCTAATTTTGGAATGTACAACAAACTATCCTAATTTATAAGAAATACAACTTGTGATGTCAATCATAATCTACCACTACATAGAAAAATATAACATGTGATATCAATCATAATTCATAGTTATGATATCGCAATCCCAATCGTGATATCACAATCCCAATCGAACAATAAACTACCAAACAAAAGTTTGGAAATATGGCAATTTGCTCATGGATGAGAGACTTGAACCTTACTACATATTCATTACAACTTGTTTGCTCATGCACGACATCCTAATTACATATTAATTATCACACAACCACTTTTGTCCATTGTATTCTAAATTAGGGTGGCAATGGGTTGGGTATGGGTCCAGTCCAACTAGACCTAGACCTGTACCCGATGGGTCCAATTTAAACATGCCCGTACCCGGATAAACTTATAGATATGGTTCTAAATCCATGCAACTGAATTCAACGGAAACTTCAATGAAAATGAGAAAAGTACCATAATTTTCACAAATCTACCAACCTGATGACTCCTTCAATCCACTCCTACTCCTTCGATGAGAAGCTCCATTAAAACCTACCCTTATGTTACTCTTACTCTCTCTTCCTGTCTCCATTCCAACCACCATTGCTACTCCCTACGAGATTTATAGAAAGTCGATATTTTATAATTGTGGAGCAGTTCTTCTATTCACACGCTTGGGTGAAATCATAGGAGTATGGGATATGTCATCTTCACAAATAACCTCATAAAGAATTTAAAAACATTCAAATGATCTCTACATATCTTGAAAAAATTAACATCTTAAAACTGATGTGAGATTGTTCAATTTTTATATAGATTAATGGCACATTTGGTTCGAGTGAATATTTTCTAAAAAGTAGTTTATCTAAAAAAATTCTCTCATGTGGTTAAGTGTGATAATATTTTCATACCAATTGGTCTTAGTACATATTTTCACATCAATTGGCAACTAATTGATGTAAAAATATTCTCACACTTAACCACATGAAAATATTTTCTGAAAATTATTTTCACGCGAACCAAACGTGTCATAAGTGTTTAAGTATTTAATTTTGAGTGTGGCTTGTATAAAGTTGCAACTTTAAACAATCAAATTAAGGCACGCACTGTCAAATTTTATCATAAATACAATTTTTTGCCCATAATTCTTAAGACAACTTGATAATCTATTTTCATCTCTAAATATAAAAATTTAAACTCGAAAAATAGTTCAAATCAAGTAGATCTATAAACACTTGAAAATCTTGAAATTGGATAATCTAGATAATTTGTTGCAAGATACACTATTGTTAAGAATCAAAATCTTTTTGTCTCTTCATATTCATACATCGTGATGTCGAAATGATCAATAAGAGGATTCTCCAATACAAAACAACCTTCTATGATGGAATTTTGAGGTGCACCTTAATTCTATATTTTAAAGTTGCAACCTATGGGTGTAAGGAGCAGAGGCTTCCATAGCAGCTTCATCATGCTAGTTTGGGAGTTTCCTTCCAACAAATCTGTAGGGAGGGCAATGAATTAGCCAATGCATTGGCAAAAAAATGGGCGTCTCTTGATTCTTTGATTGTTCTTGATTATGTAACCTCTATATTGCAATCGTCCGTTCCTCTAGTGATATCAGAAATAAAATGATCGAATATTAACAAAAAAAAAAAAAATGTGGAACCTTATATAGACTTTTTCTTTTAATTTTTTTAAACTTTTTAAATAATCATTTGATGTTTCTTAGGTGGATCCCAGAATTATAGATAGAAAAAAAGAATCATTCTAAATAGCTCTTTCATTTGAGGAGTAAGTACACAATGTACTCCCACAAGAGCATATTGTACCCATGCTTTTGAAAAATAGTATTGAGAAGCCAATCTTGCAAAAGGGAAAATATATAATGAGATCATTTACCCTTGATACAAAGTGGTCACAATTAATCTTGACCATTGGATGTAAAATTGGGTGGCTACATTTCTTTCATTGACCAAACTCAAAGTTCAAAAGAAATTTTCTCGAACTTTGTAACATACCCAAGTTATCAGATTTCACATGGACAATTATAAGTAATTGTAACATTCCTACCAATGGTAAATGATCTCATTGTATATATTCCCAAAGTAAAATCTTACGTTGTTTTGTAAGCTTCCATTGGACGGACCATTAGATACCACTAAATCCATTTCTGTATCACATTCCACTGGATCGATAACAAACACCACCAATTCTATGTTTTTTAATGTGTATACCGTGCTCCTTTAAGAGCACACCACATGATTACTCCTTCAATCACAAGGCCTATTTGGGAAGACTTTCAGTCCAAACGTTGGGGACCAGCTAAGAATCACTAGACGACTGTTTCTTTCTAATTCTTTCTAAAAGTAAAGATATTTAAGTTATCTAACACTTGGATCCCACTATTTTGAGACAGATGGAGTTGCAATTTGGAATTTTTTTTTTTTGGGATGTTCTTTCTTATCCAGGTTGTTTTATGGGTTGACGAGGTTATATACCTAAAATTTAGGGTCCTAAAACTTATTTTAGATTGAGTTTTACCTGAGGGAGTAGATAAACAATATGCTCCCACATGAGCATGTAACTTTGGTTTTCGTAACACGACTAAGGCAGGAACTATTATGCAATGCACTTTTCTATTGGATTTGTATCCTATGAAAAACCATCTATATCTAGCACAAAGTAACCATTGTCGCCACAAAACGTACAATAAACCGGCTTAGGGTATGGCACAAAGTCCAAGGAAATATCTTTCTTGAACTCTGAGACTAGTCAAAGGCACACCATTAGCCATCCGATTGTACATCTGATTGTTGAGGTTTATTGTAACCTCATTCTACCAAAGTTAAATGGTCTTAATGTATGCATTCTCATATATTTTCATTCGTTTTACAATACAAATCCCATAGAACCAATTTGGCTGAAAAACCAAAAAACAAATTTTGCTTTTATTAGGCAGTGATACTAGAGAATGGAGAACAGGAATGGCCTGCTCACTCTAAAGTTGTAAAACTTCCATACCACGTCGCCTCATCCAATATCTGACAGTATTTATTATTCGAAAAAATACTTGTGTATTTCAAAATAACATTATGATTTTGTGTGGTTTTCCTAAATTATATTTTGTAGAAATAGAAAAGTATAGATTTTTAGTCCCACATTGAAGAAAAGATTGTAGATTGAGCGGTATTTAAAGATGGGCATTTCTGTTCTATATTCTAAGTATAAAGGTGAGAATGGAGGTGCTTAAGCGGAGAACATGAAGTGGGCGACACGTACACACGTGCATGGGCAAGGACGAAAGCGCTTGTTGGCATACTTTACACTTCGCACGCTTGCATCGGCGCTTGAGATGCCCTTTACCCAAGTACGGGTTGGGCTCTAAGCCCAAAGTCTTTTTGCAAGCATTGCAAGTGTGGAAAATCCAACGGTCTCGTGCCATTGAAACGTTAAGGCACTTGAAGCTTATAGCAGCCTTGAGATGCATGTAACAGTTCACATCCAACGGTCACTAGCGGTGAAGAGATGGAAGTTTCAAACAACAGCCGTCGAGATTTAGAACGAGCATGTAACTTGTCATTGTTGGTAGTGCTTGCAACCACTCCCACAATAAATGTGTAGCCTTTCGGAGCTCTATAAAAGGGGTCATTTTTCCTATATGAAATATATTCTTTTTATTATCTTCCAGTGCACTTTTTCACATCATTATCTGCAAAATTCCATAGAGCATTACGGAAAACTCATCTCTCTCTACTCATTTTTTCTTTCTCTATACAACACAAGCCTCTGATCTACTATGGGCTTCAAGCTCGGGTACAAAGGGCTTTGGAATAGCAAAAGAAACCTTTTTGTTTTCATAAATCCCAAGGATGAATTGCCTTTATTTATAGCACATTTTTTATAATATCGAAGGGGGGCAAATATTGGCTTGAAATAGCGCTCCTGTGTTACCGAAAACTAGAAGGATTCAAGCTTTAATTTTTTTAATTTGAACTATCTTTTAGCCCATATCATGAGCATGACAGCTCTTGTTGTGCAGAAGAGACTTCATCCTCAACACACCTTAGATGATAGAGGTACACAAAGTCCCCTCCCCTAAAGAGTAACTAAATTTTTGTTAGTGTTTGCTAAAATAGATAGAGCTTGTTTCTTATCTTCACACTCCAATCCAGGGAGTACGTTAACTTAAAACGATTGTAGAGAGTCAAGTAACCTCAAATCAAATCAGATTGGATATCTCCATGGTCTAGTCATGGAAGGTTGATCAGCATTCCCAGCTCCAAGTCTTTAAGATCTTTGTCAACCTCCACCAGCTGTTCTCAATGTTCAAGGAAACATAATGGGGAATATATTCACTTTCGGATAATGGAAAAATAAATAGTCATAATTGTAACATATTGTTCAGTATGCTAGAAGTAACATCAGCCATCTGTTTATCAGCGAATAATGACTATTTTGAACTGTTCCCCACAAAAACTTCTCAAATGTCACTTGAGCGTACGAAGAGCAAATATCAACTGTTTGTTTTGCTCAATGGATGGCTGATTCTAGGACACTGAACAGAATGCTACAAACATCTTAGTCCAGATTCAGAAACACCATTCCTAAATATCTTACCTTTCTTTGAAGATGCATATTCTCATTATATAGAGCTTTGTGCTGCAAATTGATAAATCAAGAAACACTATTTATTTATACAATTAAATCTCTAAATTAGAGGGGATCAATATAGACAGTCAAATTGTTATGCGGGAAAGAAGAACGAGAAAACTGGTTAAGCTTTATATTTTTTACAAAGAAACCACTGGTTTTCACAAATTAAAAAAAAAAAAAACTACTAGGACTAATGAACCACTACTGAAGTTACCAAAATAATCCTTTAAATTATACAGTGGCTTATGCCCCTCCCTCTATACGTAATTTTCCTCGTACCAAGAACAATTATTTTAAAAACCCGAATCGGGTTGTGGATCACCTACCAATGATCTAGCATCAAACCGGGCGACCCAGATTTGTCAAATTGGTGATCAAATGAAATTTAAAAAAGAATGGGGGAAAAATTGTATAGGCCATCTTCCCTATGTTTCTTTGACGATTTCAGTTATTTTAATTTTAATCTGACTAAAATTGAGCTGAAAAGAAAAAAAAAAAACCAAAATCGATGCCTTCCATTTCTGGGATTGGGACTCTTAAGTCCAAAAATCCATTATCAGATATATGTTAGATGATTGAATAGAGGATCAGACATGGAAAGAAATAGCTGAAGTTTACACCTCAATTTTATTGATTTGGAGCTTCTTTTTCTCCAATCTTGACTATTTTGAAGGCCACAAAAACCATAGCATCTCCCACTTTTCCTTTTATGGCCGGTATTGTAACTCAAATTCACTAGCTCTTAGTCCCATCCCCTGTGTATGCTTTAAAAAAGTACTCTCATTCAATCCTTTCAGCAAAAGATATCCCAGTATGGCATTCGTGGGAAAATTCTAGATATTGATACCACCGTTGTGAATGAGGTTCCATACATGATAATGTTCGGTCTTTATGTGGTTAGATTGCTTATGGAATCTCGGCTTCTTGGTTACACAAATAGCTGGCTGATTCTCACAATAGATCTGCACGGTGTCACATCTCAACTATGGAGATACCTTTTTAACAATATTACATCCTTGGACTCTTCACAACAGGACAAATGCTCAGATTCATTGTGGATATGGCCAGTGAGGCACTGATATCAGTTTTTATAAACACCAAGAAACAACTCCTCCATCAAGCAAAAAAGCCATCCCAATGTGGACCTCAGGTCATCCAGATTTCCTTGATAACCTGCATCTAAACAACCTCACACCCACACTTTCACCCTCCATAACGTAACAATGTAGTTTTCAGTCCCTTTGAGGTATCTTAGGATTCTTATTAGTAAATTCAGATGTTCTGAGCTCAGGTTGCCTAGGTGTTTGCTCACTAGCATAGTTGAGCTCAGATCGCATGCCCAGGATCACAAACATGAGAGATCAACTGATCTTGCGTACTGCACCTTCTCCATAAATTCTACCCCTGTTTTCTCCTTGAGCTCATAGCTCGGGTCAATTTGACTATCTACAAGTGCAATCACGGATATACAATTTTCATTGAAAACCTTTAATGGACCTTACTAAGAAACAAGGCCTAGGGCATCTAAATGGTGCAAGCAGCCCTGCTTCATATTATCTTGATCTTAAGAAGATACAATGCCTCACATAGGTCCTTCATTCACGATTTTGACATAGAAAATATTTTGTTTCATTTACAAGACCTAAAGAGTTACTAGCAATCAACATGTCATCCACATACATAGGCACGCACACATCATCACTCCCACTCACCTTAATCGTAGTTATTGGGAATGATAGCAAGGGGAGCTCCAAGATCAAAAGTGGGAACATAAGAGCGAGGGAGGCTTGAAGATAACTGAGGGAACAAGGTTTGTACACCAGTAGGTATCCCTACTATTAAGGGAGTGTGCTCTATAACTTCCCAGGAGTGATTCTAAATGAAATGGAATCGCTGTTCATCGAGCCTAGGATTGAGGCTCCTAAAGATCACTTATCCATGGTCTAATTCGAGAGCGAACTCTAATGAACAATATTTTAAGCAAGTTTCACTCTAAAATATTGCATATTTGGGCCCATAACAAAAATTGCCCACTTACTTATATTGATCTGCCTACATACGCATACAACCTCATTTTTGGTAGTAATCGGTTCGATTAGACGATTCCCAATCAAATATCAATTGTTAATTATGTTTAAGAATGTTACTAAAGATTGTTGTCAAAAAAGAAAAGCTAATGGAGTGTAGATCTCCAATTTTTTATGACCTACAAATTTCTAAAGCCTTGATTTTCTATGTATTTTACAGTTTACAACTTTACACATCTTGTGAATCGTGACTTGCAACTAGTTTCCATAAAAGGCAACAAGAGGGGGCAGGGGAAGAGAAGGAAGAAGATGGAAAGAGATAGAAAGATAGAAACTTTGTGGTTCCAATCAAGTAACGAGGTCGCGATCATTAGGCTTAACTTCTTGGGGCTAGTTCATTGGTCCTGTCCACCTCTCAAAGGACTCCTACAAGTCGAGTATTGGTCACCTAAATTGAGCCACTCATGGGATTGCCTCATTGATGAGTGGCAAACTTGTTCCTGTTGCAAACTTGGAACATATTTCTTGTTTAAAAAATCCTGTTCCTGTTTAAGAACGCCAAACAAGTGGGGAAATTTTCCTAATTTGGCCCAATTAAAAACTCACATGAGTCAAAAGTTATAAATATTCATACTTGCTCTAGATTCCAAACTGACAACATGACTTTTTAGGAGAAAAAAATATCACTTATTTAGAACCCGAAACAACCAAGAATATTTAAGCCATTTAGCTAGTAGAGTAAACTACATGGAAAAATTACCAAATCTCCCCACTTATTTGGGGTTCAGAATAGGGGAAATCTGTGCATTTTCTAGCAATATAGTTGAGGATGTAACTAAGTGAAATAATTATTATAAAGTTATTACTTTGGTGGTATTTTAGTTAATTTAACCACTTTTATATGGTTTTACCATTTCATTGATGACTTGGTGTCACTTCCATATAATTTTATTTCATAAATAAATTACTCAATTTTACTAATGCACCATGTATAACTCCCCTTTTTTTTTTTTTTTAGAATGGTATACTTTCCTGCACAGTTGACGACATTTCCTAATTGTTTTCTATGACATTTAATGGATTTTTATTTACCAGCTGACGTTATTCTTATTCCTGAAAATGACACCAGCCATAAACTAGAGTGTTTGGGTAACATTGCTTATGGAGTACCTACTTTCCAGAAAATGATTTCTAGAGCACCTGAATTGGATATGCAGACAACTAGGTGATAGCTTGCCTAAATTCCATAGAACTAGTAGTTAGTTGTAAAAATGTTTAAAACCATAGGGGTATCTCAAAGTTTCCCAAAAAGTAATGCTTTTTAATCTGTAACTTCTACATAAGTACAGAATAAAAAATTCACTTCACCTCTCTTTTTAAAAGGCACGCGTGCTCAGAAAGTACTTGCCGCTGCAAAAAAAAAAAAAATGCAAAATATAAGTAGCTGCCACCAAGTAGAATGACAAAGCAACAATTCATGGATACAAACATCGGCAAAACTTGTCTTTTGCAAAATCTTGTGTTACGAGTTAGTGCATTGCCTTTCTTAGACGAATTCGATCCTCGCCAGTCTTTAACTGTTTCTCGAGCTGCTTCAACTCCTTCATGCCTAGGGACATCAAATCTTCCCCAAGCAAATGCCTGAGGATGTCGACAGTGAAGGCAGGTCATACCAGCAGGGGATTGAGAGTCTACCTGGTCAACCTACGAGTTCTTTTTCGTAAAAGAGAGTTACAAGAAACTTACTTCTTTTTGCACTCCAACGTGTGAACTATTTCTTTCAACTTGTCCACTTCCTCTCTCCATAGCTATAACCACAAATATTACATTCAGGAGTTAAATATGAGGTAGACAATCAAACAAAAAGGTAAAACTTCAATCACAAGGGAAACGTATAATGCAATAGGTTTGATACAATATTTGAAACATAGAAACGGTTACGATGGCTTACCAAAATATGGGTAAACAACCATGATGGCCAAAGGGGATTCTAAAGTAAATAGTGAATGGTAAAATACTCATATTTTGTATCAAATATAAAAATAAACTTCAAAGGAGCCCTTCAACTTTGTCACCTTTTTTTTCATTGGGGTGGTGCAGCATGCGGCCCGGTGCTTAAGCACACGCAAGCCAAAGGTCTGGGCTTTACCAAGCCAGCTGGGGACCAGGGTTGGCCCAGCCGAGGCCCTTTTCATTGCCCCCTCGACTTTCAGTGTTTCAGTAGCAGATTTCAAATTTCAGACATAGTATTACAACATGAACTCCTTAGCAAATCAAGACCGAGAGCGAATCTATTGCATCCCCTACTTCACACATATTTCCTCAGTTTTTTGTTTATTCAAAAAGACAAACAACCATATAGAGGCAAAAACCCAAGAAAAATGGATGCCACGTGTGAAAAAAATAGAGCATGATAAGATTCACTAATGTATATTATGACCTGCACACCAATTGCCACTACAGGTGAACCAAGTACCTTTTTTTTGTTTTGGTAAGAATAAATAGATTTAGGGGCTTATTTGTAGTTTATTTTAGGCAAGCAGAGTCTAAAAATGGAAATAGGCCCACTCAGTGCATGTAGTTCCCACGCTAGTGTGTTAAAATGAAAAAAGAAAAAAAAAAAATCCAATTCATTTAGTGGTCGACCCGAACTGGGCCTTGTGCTTAAATTCAATCATTACAGTATATTACTTCAACATGTAGAAAGTGCCATGAGTATGAATTGTGGTGTGAATTAATTGTCAAAAGGCTAAATGAACCACAATGAATTGTCAAAAGGCTAAATCAACAAGAGTGGTTCACGTCCCAAGGCATGAGGGCACAGAGAGAACTTTTTAGCTGGGTTGTGATTCAGGTGAGTCTAAATAAATCTATTCAAATTCCTAGGTCTTTTAGAATTCAGTTTTTACAAAATGAGATCTGAGAATCAATGTACATGAAAATATTTTCGAGTAAAAAATATACATGTAGAAAACAAACGCTAGGAGACAGCTAAGTCTGTTTTGCTCCCCTCACTAATAAGGATATGGTTGGAGCTGTGTAGCGTTGATTGATATGGTTAGTGATGTAATCAATACATACATTGTTGAGAGTTGCCAAAACTTTTGAATTGAAATTCAAATCTCGAATTTCAAATTTTGAATTTCTATACACTTGATGCACACATTCTAATTTTTTTGGATTTTGTATCAATATACAATTTCAATTTTTGTTAAATAGATCCCTACAATCAAGAGATTGCAGCCTTTTGTATTTTCTACATATACCCCAAGTTTGGGTAATACAATGTATTGAAAATTGTTCCATTCAAATTTCTCCAAATCTTGATATGATATAGGGTTTACCTTGTAATACAATGTATTGAAAATTGTTCCATTCAAATTGCTCCAAATCTGACATGGTATCATAACAAGGTTTACCTTCTCTATAGACTGATTCCATCGCCTCTCATCTTGATGTAAAGCTTTGCCAGCAACTATCAGTACCTGTTAATCGTAGGCCATCCTGTTATGCGTAGGTTTTCGCTCTTTTTTAAATTGATTCCTCTTTCCTTGATTGCTTCTCAGTTACTATGTGCGCTTTTGCGCAATTAACCATCTCCAAAGATTTGGTCGTACAATTATTTTTTCGTCGTGCAAATTTGCTTGTGCAAATTTTCCATTTTGCTCGTGCTATTTTTGCTGCGTGCTTCATCAGATAGTTGCTGTGTGCGCTTTTGCTTGCATCCATTAACCTTCTCCAAAGATTGGGTCGTCCAATTATTTTTTCCTCATGCAAATTTGCTTGTACAAATTTTCCATTTTGCTCCTGCTATTTTTGCTGCGTGCTTCATCAGTTAATTTTGCTCATGCAAAATTTTCTTTTCTTCCATACAAAGCTTACTTTAACAGGAAGCTTCCATCTCTTTCTACGTTTTGCAGAAATTTTTGCTGCTTGCTCCATCAGTTGAATTTTGCTCATGCAAAATTCTCATTTTCTTCAAAAAAAAGGCTACCTTTCCATTCAACAGAAAGCCTGCATCGTTCTCTATGTTTTCTTCTCTAAATCTGCAACTCTCTTTCATGTCAAACTTTATTTAGTGTGGCTGTGTTAATATTCTTTCTCTACCTACTTAGTTTTTTTTTGTGGCATAATATCACAAACCTTACAATTTAGAAAGACTCCACGCTGCTGCACTTCCTCTTTCTTCAAAGTTTTGTGAGCCATGAGTGACAACAAAACCATGGATTCTTCATCTGAAAATCAAAATTCTTATGATACCCAACCCTTTATTTTTTGTATCGTTCCGATAATCCAAGGATTGTTCTTGTTTCACATCCTCACAGGGGTAGGAGAGAATTATGCCACTTGGGCTCGTGCCATGTGCATGGCCCTACGTGCAAAAAGTAAGTTGGCCTTTACTGATGGAACTCAATGTAAACCAGAGCCCACTTCTCCATCGTTTTCCTTATAGGAGGGATGTAATGACATGGTATTGTCTTGCTTATTAATGCCTTGCCCAAAGATCTCGCAGAGACTGCTGTGTTTGCTTCTACAGCGCATGAAGTGTGGATTGACTTGTGAAATCGTTTTTCATCTAGCAATACCCCACAACTTCACCAAATCAAGAAATTTCTAGCCACCCTCCAACATGAGAAACTCTTTGTTGCCTCTTACTTTACTCAATTAAAAAAAAAATGGGATGAGTTATCCTCTCTCACCTCTTTTACCCAATGTTCTTGTGGGGCACTTAGAAATCTCAATAGTTATATCCAACAAGAACGACGTCTACAATTTTTTATGGGTCTAAATGAGTCCTACAGTGTTGTGCGGAGTAACATTTTACTCATCGATCCATTATTCACTGTTGCCAAAGCCTACTCCCTTGCTCTTCAAGAAGATCGACAACGTGAGATCAATTTACATATCCCTGCACCAGAAGCGACAACTTTTGCTATGGTTCAATCTCATGCCTCTGTGAAACCCATTGCAAACCATAATACCGCCCAAAAGAACTTCAAGTCTGGTATGCGTCCCATGCTTCATTGTGATTACTGTTACAAAAATGGTCACAAAAAGGACCGATGTTTCAAACTCGTGGGCTATCCAAAACGGCAAAACAAGCCCCATGCCTATAATGTTGAAACCAATGCATGTCCTTCCATTAGCCAACTTACATCCACAGTAGCCCCTCAATTTACAACCGACCAACACCGTCAACTTTTGCAACTATTACAGGTAGGTAGTTTAAGTCACTCGGCCAATTTCTCAGCTAATCATTGTTGCTCTGCCTTTTCTCCATTCATTGATACATGGATCATAGACAGTGGTGCCACTGACCACATTATTTGTTTTCCATCTTTTCTTTCATCTATAGAACCTTCATCACCCACTAATCCTGTGAAACTACCAAATGGTAAGTTTGCTCCTCTTCTTCATATTGGCAATGTCATTCTTTAAGAACATATAACTTTGCACAATATGTTATGTGTACCATCCTCCTCTTACAATTTACTTTCTATTCAAAAGCTTACCTATTATCTACAATGCTCAATAACATTTTTCTTTGACTATTGTACCTTTCAAGACCGGGTATTGAGGAGGATAGAGAGCACAATGACCTTTATATATTTCATTCATCCAAAGATGTCTTTGCATCCCCAGCTCACAGTTCGAACCTCATGGATCTATGGCATTGGCGCCTAGGTCACCCTTCTCATGCTCGGTTACATTCTCTTATTAAAAAATACCGAGACATTTTTTTTCTAATAATTGTCATTGTCATATATATTCTAGGGCAAAACAGTTGAGACTTTATTTTCCTAATAGTTCAACTTCTATTCCTACTTCTTTTCAAGTAAATCATTATGATATATGGGGTGGTTATGCAGCTCCATCTCGTTTAGGAGAACATTATTTTTTGACTTTGGTTGATGATTTTATTTGTAGCACTAGGATTTTTCTAATGTGACACAAATCTGAAACGAATCAATATTTCAAATCTTTTTTTGCCTTGGTGAAAACACAATTCCATTGCTCAATTCTGTCCATTCGAACAGACAATGGAACTGAATTTTTCTCCAAAGATATGCATAATGTTTTTTCAAATAAATGGTATGTTTCATCAACACTCTTGTATTGCAACACCCCAACAAAATGGCATTGTTGAATGTAAACACCATCACCTGCTTGAGGTAGCATGAGCCTTACATTTTCAGGTGAATTTACCTATTTCTTTTTTGGAAGATTGCATTCTTATAACAACGTATCTTCTCAATCACTTACCCACCCCCATTTTAAAAGGCAAAAGCCCACATGAGGCTCTATTCAATTCTCCCCCGTCATATAAACAATTAAGGGTATTTGGCTGCCTTTGCTATGATTAAAACATAAATCACAAACACAAATTTGATACCAGGTCACACCAATGTATATTCATTGGCTACCCTTATGGTTAACAAGCTAGCAGAGATGTTGTTTTTCATGAGCATTACTTCCCATTGTCTGAGTCTTCATCCCCAAACCTATTAAACACTGTTCTCCGAAATCTATTACCTGATATTCCTACCAACATCACATTACCATACCCAACTGATTCAACCTACATTATTGAGCAGTCACCTCCATCTCCAACCTCTGTCACACTTCCCTCACCGTCTTCATTACCACCTACACCTCCAATTACCCCCCGACATTCCGACTAGTCTCACCAACCTCCAAAATATTTACAAGATTACCATTGTTCCATCATTGTGCATTCTCAACCTGCTATAACTTCTCCTCAACTGGTTCAAGATGTTCGTTATCCTTTAAGTTCTGTCATCTCATA